CTACTGGCTGGGGAATTCTGGGAGTTGAAGTCCACACATCTTAAAGCGGCTGAGCTTGAGAAACACCGACTTAGGGGATTGAAAAGCAATTTCTCTAACACAGCTTCATTTGAGTCCATCTGCTTTTTAATTGTATGTTGGCCCCCTGAGTTTTGGCCCAACTACTCATTACCCAGGGTGAGATGGGAGAGTTCTGGTCCAGGGTCGAGAAGGCAGTGGGATAAATGATATTTCAGAATGCTGACTTTCCCTGAATGTACTGAACTAGCCAAGGAAAGGATAAACTCAGACCCCAGGCAATCTTCCCCAACTCACTGCTCTCTCCAGATGTGTGGTGGGAATGCAGCTGGCAGAATTCCCAGGTGTGAAATGACATGGTGGGTCCTGATGTCATTGTGCAATCACAAGTGATATAATTCACATCATGTGTGCAATGGTGTGACTTATGCAACCTTATTGTGGCCTTCCAGAGATGCCTATACAACCATGCAAATGTTCCAGGTGGAGAAAAGATTGTCTTGCTCTCTTTGTAAACAGCAACAAAAAGCTCGTTGTCCATCCCCACAATTGCGTTTTGGGATTTGGCATTCTTTTTCAATCGAGACATCTGTTACTGGCCTTACTGACATGCCCCAGCAAAGCTTTCATGTAAGTTCTCTGGAACAAAATTAATTAGCAGTATATTATTTAATTGGAAAAAAGACAAAGACATTTCCTTCTGGAGTCTTTGGGAGGAAGATACAGAGAAAAGGAAAATACCCCTTTGTGCAGCTAAGATCCCCTCGTTCATCATCTGACATCAGGTCTTCTGGGACAGATCTCATTTCCCCTTGTAGAGTGGATGCTCTATTGTAGTCAAGGTGAGGCTAAAACTGATAATCGACTTCAGAATGCATCACCTCAGGTTAATTGGTAGAACAGTTTTCCAACATATTTGGAGGGGATAATGCAAGTTTTCCACCCCAAAAATCTCCTTTGATCCAGAATAGACTAATGGACATTCGTAAAAAGCCAGATCCAGTCTGACTCCTTAGCAAAATTAGGGAAAAAAAACAAAACGAAAAACCTGTCACCCATTTATTCCTCAATAATATTTAAAAATGTCAAAATTTAGCTATACCAATTGCTTCCAAATCAAGCCAGGCTGTTGTTTTTGTTGTGCTCATGAAATTAAATGTGTTTTCAGCCCTTGAGAGAATTCCTAAGCTAGGATAGAATTTTTCCAGCTCTTTGCAATTCTTATTTGCAATAGAAACGTAAACCTATTTTGTTTGGAGACGAAAGATGAACAGGGACATGAAACACGAAACTCTGCTTTAGGACTCATGGAGAGACTTCATGGGGACTACTATTTAAAGGGAAAAACAGAGTTGGCAATACCTCCACAAAGATGCTCAAGAATGAGTAAGAATTGCTTGACAGCCCCAACAGATTCATGCAGCACAGAAATTCTCTGTCATGGTGTCTGTTCGAAATTAACCATATGTCCCTTATATAACAATTGGTGAAATTCAGCTTTACATATGCGCACACATTTTCCTTGCTTGTACTTATAATGAAAAGAACAACTGCAGCCTGAGTTGTGTATGTTTTTCTGGAAGAGAAGTTACTAACGTTAACTTTAAAAAAAATGTCTAGTTACTAAAGTTACTAAAATGTTTCTCTGGAAGAGAAGTTACTAAAGTTACTAAAATTAATGATTCTTACTCCCAAAGAAGGGCACACAAGAGTACAACCCCAAAAGACGCCATAAATAAACAGATCCAAACTATTTTATTAAACCATCTGCCCCAAATTGCTGTTGCTGAATCCCTGCATACTGCATTTTAGATTTCTCTTTCAAAATTCTGTGCTGCCAAAGCAATTACAGGAAGCAGACAAAAACAAACTTTGAAACATCAACAAAATAAAGGAGGATCCGCAATATACATTACCATTGTCAAAAAGGGGGTCACTGTGTTACAACTGACTGAGAGAAGGATCTTCAAGGAGCTTTCTGTGTGGGTGAATGAACTGAATCAAAACCTTTGTAAGGACTCATACCCATCAATATAATTTTGGGAACCCCAGTTAACAAAATGCTGCATTAAACCCAATCGATTAATTACTCTGCTCCTGCTCTGGGGGGTTGTAATATCCACTTGTCCTAAAGAAGACCTGGAAATGCCCAGTGAAGCAGGTCACCACAACGGACCTCTCCCCAATTCCCCTTCTCATCCTTCTCCAAACATCTCCAGTGCTTTATAGTTATTCTGAGCCTTTCCATTTCAGGAACTGGGAATGCTTGCTCCAGCACTTTAACCCCCAAAGATCAGTCAGCCCTTGTGGTGCCTCATGGCTGACTTTAAGGGCACAGCTGGATATTCCACAAAGTGAATGGAACCCTTGTGATGCATTTCCCAGGATGTTCTTTTAAATTCCAGGAACCCATAAGCTGCCATGCAGAAACCCTATGAGCTTTTCACAATGAAATTTTGGAAACAACCAACCATCGACGTTTCAAGATGTGGCAGCACGCATCTGTGCTGGTGGTTGGCAAGAATCGGGCAACCTGGCCCATCTTCCTGCTGGGTAAAATGGTGGATGTGGCCCCTGCTTAAAGGAGATCAGAATGACGGGTCACCAAAGCCAACTTCTGACTGCACCTGCTTGATCTCTTGCAAGAGATCTGGGTTGTCCAGCTCCAGCTGCAACACAAGGAAAAAGAGCAACTTAAAATTCTGTCAAATATATTTTGGTTCAAGAAGGAAGCCTTCGGCAGTGTGTCCTGTTTCAACCCAACACAAGTGGAAAATACCTTGTCAGCCTGCCAAATATTAGCCAATATGATCTCTCAATTAATAGCACCAAGCAGCCACCTGAGTCAGAAATGTGCTCTGTAACACAACTTCCTGTTCAACACAGAATGTGTCATACTTTTCAGTATAGGAACATCCAGCATCAGAGACCTAATACATGGTTGCCTTTTAAAAAAAAAAAAAAAAGACCGTCTCTAGAGAACAATCAGAGAACAAATGGAATTTTGATCAGAAGGGACAGGGTGACTTATCCCCTAAGTCATTTATGGCACAACCCTAAATGTGTATATTCAGAAAGAAGTGCTATTCATTTAACCAAATCCCACTTCCATACAAATGAACCTAAAACTGCAGCCTATCATAGTCAATTTAGCCCCCTCTCCTCTTTAGCTTGTATCACGTATAACAAGCAGTTCTCTGAATTGCCACTGGGGAAGATGGCGCTTTATTTGAACCTCGTGGATTGCAGGAATTGGGTCTTGCCCCTAGAAGAATGAGACAAACTGACCCACATTGCTGACAGATAACTTGGGTCTGGCTTCCTTCTTTGGGGGAAGAGGGGTTGATGATGGTAACCTGCTAAGGTTAGGGGGACAGACCCTTTTCGTACAGCCCAATTCCATCAGCAAAGTGTGACAGGTCAGAATACCTGGTAAGGCCTTAGTGGCTGCACCCTCCCAGCGATCTGGTAAACTTGAAAGAGAAAAAAAAAAACCCGCGACCAACCTTGACAGCATATTTGTATGATTGTTCCGCCTCCAGCTGCCTTCCGCCCTAAGGGGGGAAAAACAGCAATCTGTACTAAACAGGTTCTGACAAGGCAAGAAATGCTAAAAGGCTTAATTGCCTTTTAAAGGAGAATGGGGAACGGAGAATAAACCCCTAGAGGAAGGTCTCTCATCCAACTGAGAACAGTAAGAAAAAGGATGGCAACAAAGAGAAAGGAAAGGGTGCAGGGTCCGATGTGAAAATGCATTTCCACATTTCTGCCTTGACTGAGAACTTCCTTCAATCCATCCACTGATCAGCCAAGTCTCTGAAAAAGGTTGGGCACCATTTTCATTCAAAGGAGGCTTGAATTCATCCACCTGCATGCCCCTACTTTAACCCCAACTCTAATCCTAAGATTGCACAGAAGAGCAAATTCTTAGCTGTTGGATAAAATGGACCTTTGGAGACTCACCTTCATGCAGACCAGAGCAAGGTAGGCCCACACTTCCGCATTGTTATTGTTGAGGGCGTTGGCTTCAGAGAGAGCGTCCTCTGCCTCTGCCATTTCTTTCAGCTGCAGAAAAGAGATTTACTAATTGAAAACCAACATCAGCCTAGCTCCTCGTTCTGACATATAGGGATGGAGAAAAGCTGTAGTCTATCCATTCCATCTGCCCTCCGGATTCGGAAGATGCAGGGAGTCACAGTTTCATGATTTCTGGAAGGTACCAACCTGGAGAAGGCTGCTGGAGCAGCCGAAGGATGAGAGAAGGAGAGCGCACGTGCTCGTGGGTGCTTCCTTCATGCAGTTCAGTTTCTTTTTAGAAACTTCAGACATTGGGACAACTACCTGATGCTGAGTGTTGAAAAACACACCGAGGAACCAGACTGAGATTCCTTCTCTAACATTCATGGAAATGCCAGGGATCAAACCTGAGATCTCCTGCATGCAAAGAAGAGACCTTCACTGAGCTGTGGCTTTCTTAAGGGATGACTCGTCTCTTTTGTCCATAAGAGGACAGGAAAATGGAAAACTCCTCACACCATTGGTCAATCTACAGGTCTGAGGTTCCAAACGGCTCCATCTCTTACCCTGTAACAAGCGATTCCTA